AATGCCACCTGTTCAATCAGCAGCCCATACCTGGAGTTTGACATAGATCCCAGCGAGCGAACACACGATTATATGAAAATGAACAAGTAGCTGCTAAAGACCTTTGGGTCCAAACTTGACCTTATGACATTGTGAAACTCCATCTAAGTCAGTGGAGGTTGCAAAGGGCTTCATGGCCCTGCCTTCACCTGCAAGCTCCAAGCTTGCCTGCATTCCTTAGATTTCTGTCCAGCAAAAATGGGCGGACCGGTCTGGATAAATTAAGAGCTGACTTGAATCTGTAGCTGAACTTGAACCAAAATCAACTTGGTTTAGACACTTGAACAAGTGCAGTTAATCTGGACCAGGAACATTTCCCCCCGAGTTCTGTGGCCCTCTGTTCCAGGATCAGAAATGGAGGCCCCAAACCAACCAAAAGGATGGCTGTTACTTGAGTTGTTTCCCCATCCAAACAGCAGCGGGATGTACTTAAAGATGCGCAATCTGTCATTGCAAGGATTCCTATCTGATTTTGCAGATGCAAGAGACTTGGACAAGTCAGGTAGAAATACATCCTCTTGCTGTTTCCCCAGAATGGACCTAAAACCCTTTCGAGATTTGCCCATTACAAACATCTATTTTGCAGTGGCATGGATTTACAAGAGCATAAAAGAAACCCCAGAAAGAGGAAAATCTAAACATCTAAAAATAATCTTTAAAGGTTCACATCCATCTTTGTCTCAAACCAACACACAGTTGGTTTAAGCCATTACATTTCTGCATATTAAAAAAAAAAATCTATTCGTGACACTACTGTGTTTTAACTAATCAAATGGCACAGCATTTCCCTTTAATAAAAGGAAGTAGTGACAAATACTTGTTACTATTACAATATCACAATAATATGATATTAAATTAATAGCAAGTTCACAGCCCCAGGTATTTGAGCTGAAAGCTAGACTAAATTATGTGTTCACTTTGGCAACAGTACTTTATTCAATCTGAACTTCATCATTACACACAGAGACAATAAAAAGAAGAGCGTGGATGGGTGGGGGGGGTGGATTCTCTTTGATATGAAGTCGTAACTCAATGCACAAGGAAACACATCGCAGCTTTGTTCCTTCCATGCACACTAGGCAACACGGACGCTGCACCCACGGTGCGGGGCTCTACTTCACGACATGTTGGGTGAATACCTCAAGTATCAGACATGGAGCCTTACCCCAAAATCCTAGCTCTGAAGACCAGGCTTTGAGAGGTTGGGAACCCAGGTCCAAGTTTCGCAGCTTGGGCTCTCGCTAACACACACTTCAAATCTTTAGACAATGGCTCCTGTTTGATTCGCATCAAAGAAAGACGTGCTTTTAACGAGCCCTTTGAATCAGTAACATTAACGCCTTTCTTGGCTTTCCCCCCCAACTGTCCTGCATCTCCATCCCCCTTCACCTTTCCAAACGGTGGCATACCCTGGCTCCGACAGGTTAACTCCTGTGTAGCCGGACATCCCAGCTGGCCAGTAATAGCCACCATTGAGCAAACACGGGGCCTGGCACTAGAGATGCTCCAGGGCACAGCTGTTATTCTGATTTTCAGTCTGTGAGGAGAGAGCAAGCCAATTTATTTTACAAACTGCTGAAGGAATTCAGAGATTTGTGGTTGGGGAAGAGAGAGAGAGGGCTGAAAACATCTCCCAGCTTACAGTGAACGTGCGAGCGGATCTCTCTCTTAGGTCATATTTAGTCAGTATTTTAGTGGCGGGGCTAGATCATTTCTTGGTTTATTAACATACAGACCTGGTGCTCTCAAATTCCTCCTTTCCTGCAGGGGGAAAGAGAAAATAAGAAACCTCATGAGGGAGAGAAGGACTTTTAAAAGTCTGAGAGATTTATAAACACTGACCCGAATTCACCTAAGGCACATGTGTGCTCAGTTTAATTGAGGTCAGCGCCATTGTATCTGCGTACGTCAGGCTGATCTATTTGACCCGAAGGGGAGCTGTCTCTTCAGATCCAGCCCAGGCTGATTGCTGGAAGTGTTTCAGGATGCAGGAAATGGGAGATATGCTTTTCCTTATTTCCCTGTGTATTCTTGTACAACAATTATGTAGACAATTTTAGCAATCAAGTGCCAAAGGGTGTAGGTAATGGGGCTGGAGCACATGTTTCTCATACACCAGCTCTCTCCCACCACAACTGAAGATAGAGGACTGGTTTTCATTTTTTAAACAGCCATTCAGCTCTTTTCCTTTTTTACAACTTAAGCCCGTTGCCTCGTTCCTTTCACTCTTCTTCTTCTCCGCTAAAATAATTACATTTGATTCACCGCTGCATATAAAATAAAGAGCTTAACACTAAAACAGCTTAAAAGCGCGCAGACACGACACGGCTGCCCTGGCTGTGGCATCGCAGACAGGATGTTCTCCAGCATCGCATTACAACTCTCTCTTGGTTTTCATTTCATACCACCAGGCTGCTTTTCTACTTGAACTGAGGTAGGTCGCCAGCAACATGCACCTACTTAACACACCAACCTAAGGCTTTGAATGAGGTCTAGGCCTGACAGTGCCACCAATAACCTAAAGAGAAGCCGCTGGGAGGATGTCTCAATGGACACGGCTGTGAACAAGCGCCAAGTTAATAGCATGGTTGCTACAGCCCAGATTCCCCAAGGCATTTACCTCGAGGCCCACCTAAATACTTTGGAAAACCGAGGCCTAGGTCAGCACACAAGACAGTGCCATATAAATCAGTAAGGCAAATTTTTGGAAAGGGTGGCAGACAGCTCCGGGCAGACTATGGACACGTTGAACTCTCTTCTTCCCACACTTCTGAATTAATGAGATCTTTGCCATTTCCAACACGTGGCTAGGCAGATGAAGAACCTTTAATGGCCCAAGATGCAAGTACCATATACTTAATATTAAAGGATACTTAAGAGTTTGGAATATTTTTTTTCACATGGAAAAAGCAACGTAAAGAACCGCTTCTTCCAGGTCCTTTAGGATTGCTGACTTTGGACTCATTTCCATTCTGTGAAATGCCAGTAAAGCTACCCAAAAGGTAAGGAGGGGCCAGTGTTTTCTTTGTGGTGGGAAAGTGAAAGTTATAACTGCCTCTAGTAGACTCTTTAATGGCTTTACTAAATAGCATAAATTTCATACTTAACAAACCCTGACACCCCCTCTCCCCACCCCTAAATTCCCTAGAGATGCTAATGGGAAGCAGTCGAGCAGTAATTCTCATACTGGCCATTGGGAATCATGTCCTTTCTGAATGGGGGCACGTCAGTCAGCCAGTCAAGCCAGATGAATCTTTGAACGCTCTCATGCGCTGGCTAATGCCTTGTATTCAAAAACCTCAAACTTAGGCTGTTTTCCTCTTACAAATATGGGTCCAAAGATGTCAAATGAATAAAGAAACCACGCTTGTTAGCTGCAAGGATGGGGGGAGAATAGGTCAGAATATGCTTTTCCTTTCATATATCCTTTCCTCAAGGCGCCATCACACACTGGGGTACGTATCAGTCACTGTGGCACAAGAAGACACCTCCATGGGTGCGTGAAGGATGAGGATAAAGGCCGTGGGTTTTCCACACCCCAGGGATGCCATTAGCTCAGTCTGGGTTGTGTTATACCACTGGGCCAGTGGTAGAAGATGGGTGGCTTTGGGTAGCAGTGGATAAGGGTAAGTGCTGCAGTCCTAATCTCTCCAACTGCTGTCCTATGATCAATTAAGTGGGAATTTTAGCCAGATAAATTGGTTGTATCCTGCAAGGCACTGAGTACTCTAGCCCTGGTTCAGGAAAGGACAGAAAATGTGCTTCCTTCTAGACCTGCGAGTCATCCCATTGACTTCCAAGCACTCTCCTGAATTGAGTCAGAGTGCTCAGCTGCCTCGGAGGATGGGTGGGACAGAAGGAGCCTTTGGAAACATCGCACCAGTTTGAAGAAGCTAAGCTTGGATCTCCGGCTGCAACTCCGTGGTGAGCACCATCCTTAGGTTATTCGTGGCAGCTTGCAGGCTACAACGCTAACAGTCCTTAAAAGTAAAACCATGATCTATAATGCAGACGCACAAAACCATACACAAACATTATGCTTCAACTAAAAGTAAAGCTTATAACACTAGTGAAATGTCATCACAATTTGTTACACAATGCCACCACGCTGCCCTTTCGCGTTTCTTTGAACAGATTTCATTGGAACAAAGCACAAGAGTCAGATGAAGGGAGAGAAGGTCTGATGACGCACACAAACAGACTTCTATAAAAAACTTGAGGTAGAACATTGCTTTCAAGGTTTGGAAGTGCTTTACATCGGGACGACGACGACAAAACAACAACGACAACAATGGCAGATACGGAGCATGACTTCTGAGGTAGTACCGAGCTTGTACTGACCAAGTGCTACGCTACTTGTTCTGAAAACAAAGGAAGACACAGATATTTGCTGCTTCCCAGAAGACATTCATTCCGGTTGAGGTAGGTTCTGATTTAACTCGGGTGGTCTGTCCAAGTCTTTCAACAGCCCTCACGCAGGCCTCCTTTGACACACTTCTTTTTTTTTTTTTTTTCCTTATTTATAGTCAATAAGCAAAAAAGTATCCTGAGAAATAGAGAAAGTGTACAAAATCATCAAATCCATGGAGAGACAGCCCTTTTTGGCCCAAATTTTTGGAGTCACATTAGAAGGATTCCTTTAGATCCAGTCATCTTGAAATAAAAAATAGATCCACAGAATAGTTCTAAAGCTGCTAAAAAAGAAACGAGTTTGTGAAGCCACGGGAACACGCGTCCTCCATATTCCAGCGCTGACGGAGAGTTTGGCCGCTCTGGCAGTTCAGTCTGCTGTCTAGCAGCCACTGGGAAAAAACAATCACGACCAGTCTCGATAATGCAGTCATAGGAAGAAACGCACAGAGAGGCCTGAGACAGGTCAGAAAGATAAACTTCAGAGAGCTTCCAAAAAGGCTGTGTGTGTGTGTGTGTGTGTGTGTGTGTGTGTGTATGCACATGTGTGTGTGTGCGTGTGTGTGTGTATAATAAAACAAAACAAAACAATAAAAAAATCAGACCATAGAAATCTTAAATTTGACCTGAGATTGACGAATCATTGTAAAGACATCACCAGACATGGAAATGGTTCCTGGTGATTCCTACAAGAAGCTGAAAGACTTGGCAATTATCCTTCATTGCTGGGACTGTGGTTCGAAGCCGGGGCCTCTTGGCTGAAGTGGGGTGGTGGTCCACCATGGTCATCAGGAGCCCGGCTTTTGGATGGGGGGTCCAGCTGCTCTTCTATGATGCTGAACTCATCCAGTGGAAGCGTCGATATCTGGGTCTCATCATGTGAGGTAGGTGGGACGTGATCCGGCTGAGAGGAGGAAAATGACAAGCCGTTACAAATTCAAGAACTTGTCACGGCGCTATCTGAACTGAGCGGTGGGGCTGCTTGGAAACGGTGCAGCTCACACGGAGTAAGTAAGCGTCTTTTACACAGGTGTCCATATTTGCAGACTAAATTCTGCCTTCAGGTACCAGGCATAAGGATTTCTTCATGGCCAGTAGGATGCATGAAGTGCACCTGAATGGGGACAGTTGTAGGGCTCAAAGATGAGACCTTTGGCACTTAAGTCACAAGCCTCTACCACCAAAGCTAAAGGAGGAGCTCTTTTAGCTGCAGCTTGTGTCTCTGACTTCCTGGCAACACGCTTAAACTCCATGCCACTGGCTGAGCATTAGCAAGGGTTGCTTCAATGTCCCTTTGAAACTGGACTACTACTGCCCCTTGCAGTGGATAAAATAGATGGAGAACAGAGCAGTGGTTTCTGCCCCAGTGGGATCAAAGGCCCACTTCCTTCCAGGCCCACAAGCCTATCATTGAGCTATAAAGCCTCTGACTTGCTTACTTCCTTCTGGCCCTACATATCTCCCTCTCTTGGCTGGCCTAGGGGACATCTAAGCCGTGGCATGCCAGTTAGAGCACTATGTTAGCAAGTCAGAGAGACAGGCAGTCAATCCACCTTGGGAAAAGTCTAAAACCTTGGTCTCCAGCTTCCAGCCCAAATGCCCTGGCCTTACAATTACATAGGAGGACTGTTTCCTTCTAACTACTTTATTAAGGCTTTGACACACTAATGCCTCCAGCGCAGATATGCATCCGTAGCCATGCGCCTGTCCAGCCAGTGCATAGCTGCCTGCATGCTCAATCTATGGGTGCAGGCTCACACATCCACCATGCAGGGGCAACAGATTCCCAGCTGCAAAGCAGTGTAAAAAATGTCACTTGCATAGCTAGAGACCTGCCAATCAGATACCTGGCAGATGATACACTACGGACATGATTAATCTGTTAATCACATCCTTAGTAACCCGGCCACACATTCGTGCCATTCATGGTGTGATAAAACAGGGAACAAGCCACAACGGTATTACATAAAACGTGTAATAACTTGTGGGTTGGTTCCCATCGCGCCTTCATTTGAACGTGTGGCCAGCACCAGGAGCACAGAGAGCCCTTCAAGACCTGGTGTGCTCCTGTACCCGGGAGCACACATCAGCTGACCAGTGCTCCCAGCTATGGGCACACCAGGCACCCAGTTTGCTACTTGCCAATGCAGGGGGTGCCCAGTGTCATGACCTCAGGCTTCCCTTGCTCTAGCAATAGGGAGTGATTGGGAGCTAATCCCCAATTCCACAGTTACACCTCCAGTTGTGTTTGTGTGGCACGGTGGGAGGGGTGATTGCTGGGATCACAGACCAGATCCCATCATGCTTTTAACTGAATAGCAGCCTCAGGTGAACAAAGGGTGATAGAATAATGCCCCTCCTGTGTGTTGTTCTGTATTTTCTGGGTACTGAAGGGGGCTGAATACACACATCCAAGCAGAGAGGGGAGGGTCTATACATCCTCTGGCTGCTTGCTGTGACAGGACCATTGCTCTCCTCCCTTGCTTACCATAATTCCCTTATCCTGCTGCTCTTGCAAAGGCAACGCAGGAAACAGCCTTTCCAGTTCATTCATATCCAGCTGCTTTCTGTTCAGGTCCAGATCATCCCTGTCCCTCCGAGCTGCTCCATTCAGCACCAGGCCTGTGGCATTCCTCTGGCTCCTTGGGATCTGTGGAGTCGACAGCTGCTCCTGGACATTTTTGCACATCAGCAGTCTGGAAAACAGAGGGCAGGGAAGCTCAGGTGGGGCCAAAGCTCCTGCCAAGGTGACAGCCAGCCTGCTCACATGGCTCTGGAAGCACCATTGCCCTTGCATCCACTACCAAATGACCTGCCTGTATGGAGCCAGTGAAAACAGGATCCAGGGTTGGGAAGTGCAGGAACAGTGTGAGAACATGGGCTGTACTGGCCAACAGACTCACAATGCTAGGTACCTCCTTGCCCGGCCGCTGTTCTCCCTCCCCACCTTGTACCCAAAACTGCAGACACCGCGTGCCGCATTTTCTCCTGTGTTACCGCCCTGCTTTAGCAAACTGCCTCCTTCTCCCTTTATCAACTTCCCTTTGTTCCGTATCCCAGTGTTTGGGAGTGGAGAGTGCTGCCTGCCGAGATTCCCCAGGGCAGGCAGGGAGCTTGTTTGCCCAGGCTACTGGATGGGGGCTCAAGCCAGCATTTTCTTCCTCATTTTAACAGGAGCCCTTGGATGTCTGAGCCTGGATCTCATTGCAGGCAGAGGGCAGGCTTTGTGGATGAAGTGCTAGGCTGGGAGTTGGGGTTGAGGATCTGGGTGGGCTCTGTCACTGCCCTGCTAGGTGACAGTGGGCAGCTCCCTTCACTGCCCAGGCATGGGTTGGAGCTCCTGGCAGCGACCTCCTTGGCAAACCTCTCTGGGGTTTACTGCCCCGTTCAGGTTCCTATTACTCTGTATCTTTGGTAACGTTGTTCAGACCAGTCTCCTGCCTGATGTAGCCCCAATGTGCCACCAGAGCTGTTGCCCCAGACTGTTTTTACCCTGACTGTGCCATGACAAGGGCTCTGTGTCTTAATAAGGTTTGAGAAGGCAGCAGTGCCCCATTGCCATCAGAGGGGCCTGGCGGGATATGGCCACAGTCGTCTGCGTGAGCACAGCGAGCCAGTGCCAACAACGTCTGGGGATCTTCCAAAGCCAGTGCACCAAGGTTCCCTCTAAGCTGCACACGTGCACAGTCATGCACAATAACAAATCTTGCCGCACAGTAACTTTTAAATGCCGTGCACCACTTGGCTGCGCAGAGGCCGCTCCACTCCTCACCGCGCCGGCATCCCCACAGGGAGGGAGAGCACAGTCCCGGCCGGAGCAGCCCGCAAGGGGCTGGGCTGCTGATCAGTAGGCAATCATAGCCGTCGCCCTTTCCTCCACTGTGCCTGTGGTGCGGGGCAGGCAGCAGCTCCTCCCTGAAGTGAGGCGGGGGCAGGGACAGGGCCTAGGGCAGAACTGGGCATCATGTGGGCTCCGCTGGCTCCAGGGAACTACTCTACTGCCCAGCCCCTTCGGGCGAGCTTCGCCCCGAGCCCCACTGGCTTCACCCTAATCCTCTATTATTTACAACAATTAAAATACTATTAATTCTTCTAGTATTTACAGCAATGCAAATTAAAAGCAGAATTAGGCCTTTAAAGAAAAACATCTAACAAGGTAATAGACTGAGACTAATATTAAAGAATGCATTTGGTACACAGTGTAATATTAAATATTAAAGGGGGAGGTGGGACCAATTCGGGAACGGACTAAAGCAGCGCACTCACGGACCAAAGGGAGCGCTCACGGATCGCTACACCTTAGAGTAGGGGCGGGCAATTATCTTGGGCAGAGGGCTACTTACTGAGTTTTGGCAAGCCATCAAGGGCCGCATGACAGGCAGCCCAGTGGAAATCAATATTAATTTTCTAAATTTTTTAGGGACCCCGCGGGCTGGATAGAATGGCTTGGCAAGCCGCATCCGGCCCCTGGGCCACATTTTGCCCACCCCTGTCTAAGAGGGAACATTACAAGTCCAGCAGAGGGCAGAGAGTCCAGAGAGAGTCCAGTGTAGGGCAGTGAAAGTGTTTAGGGGGCTCGGACACATGACTTGTGAGGAGAGGCTGAGGGAACTAGGTTTTAGTTTGGAGAAGAGAAGACTGAGGGGCGATTTAAGAGCAGCCTTCAACTGCCTGCAGCGGGTTGCAAAGAGGATAGAGCTGGGCTGTTCTCAGTGGTGGCAGATGGCAGAACAAGGAACAATGGGCTCAAGGTGCAGCAAGGAAAACTGAGGTTAGATATTAGTAAAAACTTTCTTACTCGGAGGGTGGTGAAGCACTGGAACAGGTGACCCAGAGCAGTGGTGGAGTCTCCATCCTTGAAGGTTTTTAAGACCTGGCTGGACAAAGCCTTGGCTGGGATGATCTAGTTGGGGCTGGTCCTGCTTTGAGCAGTGGGATGGACTAGATGTGACCTCCTGAGGGCCTTTCCAACCCTCATTGTCTATGATTCTAAGTCACAGTGATCTTAGCAGGTCCCAAACAAGCATATGCCACAGGGATGTTATAGCACAGGTGCCAGGAGCAGGTGCTCCCTCCAATCCCCAGCAGGGGAGATGTACTGTGTGATTGGCAGGGACACCAGGGAAGGGCTGGAGGGGGTCACATGACAGACATGATTGTGAGATCCCACAGCCCCTTTGGCCCAGGAAGTTGGACAGCAGTGCGAGAACATGGGCTGTATTGGGAAGAGAACATCCCACCCACGAGCAGCGCACCTACCTTCCTCTGTACCCGAACATGAGGAAGAGGACGCAGAATATAATGCATGTGACGCCGATGTGGATCCCAATGATGATGCCAGTGGTGGATGTCTTATTGCTCTGCTCATCTTTTAGGCAGTCGCATGGGGGATTCAGCACTGGAAGGAGACGGAGTGAGTTAGTTCTCTTCCTGATGCTCCTCAGGTCCAGTATCATCGCTTCTCCAATGGCCCAGGCAAGGACTGAGCCCCAGGAGGCTAAACTGAGATCTGGGCTGTGGCAGGCTGGGCCCATTCAGGTGTATGGTCTCAACCCCATCCCCCCTTTGTGGGGTCTGCAGAGGGGCAAGATGTGTAGAGCTGATAGGGAGCAACAGCAGCAGAATGAGGTTGGTGGCTGAGCCTGAAATAACACAGCCTGCAGCATGAGCCTGCGGTTGGGAGCCGGGAGCCCTGAACTGGACTGTGCTCTTGGCCCCCTTCCCCAACACACCCTTCCCCTACTTTCAGCAGGGGAGGCTAGCCTCCCCGGAAAAGGAGATGGTGATAAGCTTCATCACCTGGTAGGGCCTTGGCTGGCTGGGAGGAAGCCATTGAGGCTGCAGCAAGGAGCAGCCTGTTCTCCCCACCATCTGTCCTGGCACATCTGCTTCCCCAGCAGTGAGTGCAGGGTCTGGGGAGCACGGGGGGGTGGGCTGAGTGGTGCCTGGGGAGAGATTGGTCTCAGCCCCCTTCCCTGCTTCACCTCCTCCCCACACAGAGAGAGGAGAGCTGAGGCAACGGGGTTGAGAACCTTGCTGGCTAAGGACTCTTCTTCTCTCCTGAGGCCCCTCTTATGGGAATCATGACCTGGAAGCAGGGAAGGACATACAGCGCACTTATTCCACCTGGCTCATTCTCTCCTCTGGCTTGGCCCCAGAGGGTGCTTATCCCTTCCCCGGGTGAGGAGTCTGGAGGCAGGAGGTGGCCATCCTCTGTGCCAGCCGTGGCCAGCAGCCCTGCCATACCCCGAACAGGAGTCAAGTCGATGGATATCCATGGTAACGTCCTGGGTGATGGCTGACAGCAGCTTTTGACACGGTGCTTTCAGGGAACAGAATGGGATCGAGCTGCCAAGTGGAGTATGTGTTTTATTGAAACCCAAAGTCAATAGCTGCCACAGACAGGGAGTGGAATAACTCTCCAAATGGATGATATCCATGCTCTGTCCTCAGGGTACCGAGTGAGCCAATTTAACCACATCCCAGACCTCACGGAGGGTGAAAAACACCCCTTCCCAAACAGCAATTTCCATGGATATCAGGCATGTTCCCAAAAATCCCCGCTGTACCACGTGCAGCTCCTAGCCAGCCAGTGCATCCTTCCCCCTTTCCTTTGTGCTGTAGGTGATGGAAGGGCCTTTCATCTGAGCTAATTCATAAGACTCTGCTGCAATCTGGCAGTTCTGGTCTATCGTAACAAAAGCTTTCAGCCTATTCTCCTGAGACAAGCAATTTGCTTTAAAGGCAGAGCCTGCCTCTCTGATCCCTAATGCTGTGTTCAGATGAAAAGTGAAAGGATAACATACAATTATTTTGCCTTTCCACCTAGGGATTTGTAAACTTTGCATTTTCTCTGTGTCAGAGGTAGGCTGTGAATTACAGAGGAGGGAAGCAGCAGTGCTTTTGTAGAGGAGCAAACCAAAGCATTGTTAGAACATCTCCAAGTATTGCTATATAAACCAGGGGCGCAAAGTATTAGACGGAAGCTGATGAGATTAATATTTACAGGAAAGAACGATAGCGGATGAATAACACGGTACTCTGTTTGGAGGTATTCCCAGTGGGAGGCTGGTTAAAATGACTCCAGAAGCACTGGGTACTTATACGCCTACAAGAGGAATGATCAGTCAAAGCGGAGGGAAGGGAGACCTCTCACCTCCATATAACCTTACCCCAACGTAATCATTTGCTTTTTTTAAATTCCTTTAAAAAGCATATGTCTCCACCCGCCTCCCCTCCACCCCATAGACACTCAGCAAAAGTTATTTCATTCCAGCTGAAATCAGTGCAGCTTCCCTGAAAAAGAGGTTCACTGGAGGGGCACAAGGGGTGGGAGACTCGGAGGTCTGGGCACAAACACTCCTGACCTGCCACAGTGAGAAGAGAGTCCTGGAAGCAAATGAGGTGGAAAATTTGAGTTGGATCAGGACTTTCTGTCCTTGCAAGGACACTGTGGCTGATTCTGGCCATTCCTGGGCCCCATGTATGGAAGCAAAGGCTGGGCCAAGTCTGAGCTTGGTTCTTTGGTCAGTTTAAGCTGGTTCTGCAGTCACTTTCTTTTTGTTCACTTTGGCTGCCAAGACAGCAAGGGACTGCCTGCAGGGGAGTGCAGAGCGGGGGAACAGATAATGTCTGTGGCAATCAAATCCTTAGAAACAGCAACGATTTATCTGCTGTTCTCACCTACACTGAAAATAAGAACTTGAATATTTAGGAAGGCGGGGCGACAAGGACCCCTTAAACTACTAGCACATCAAACCTGACTGTGATGTGTCCAACACACCAATTGTTCTGGTGTCTGAGGCAGGTTCTCCTCTCAGTCAGTGCAGTACAAGCCTGCCTGTCTCCTCGGGGTTTGCTGAAGGTAAGTCCAACGTGTATAGCTTCATACCTGAGTCTCCCTAGTAACAGCCAGCCTGCCTTATTGGACACATATTTAAGGTTCTTGCTAAGGGCACCGGGAGCTGTACATATGCAGAATTAACCCGGAGGACCGAACGTACAGAAATCTCACGCAATTTTGACGATAAAAAAAAAAGTACTCGTCTCTGCACAGCTGCAGCTTTCAAAAGAGAGATAAGTGTATTTGCTTTCTAAGCCTGTCCACAAAGCGGTCAGCCGCATTCTGGCTTCTTAAACTTGAATTTGGATGAGAAAGTTGTTATCGAGTTACCAGAGCACAGGAAACTATGTACGTTCAGCCTTTCTTTGGATCAGCAGAGAGCAGACTGAATTGTGCTACTAGATCCTTTTTAATGGCACTAGTGAAGGGTAGCTGGGAGCAGGCTGTGCACAGTTGGCGGGTCATGCTGGCGTTGCTTCCCCTTCTTGCCAAACGGGGCAAATTGGCATTGGGAATAAACAAGGGGAAACAACCAAATTAGCCACCGGGGGGCACTGAGCCCCTACGCAATCTTTCTTTAAGTTTATTTGTTGGGCTGTAAATGAAACGCTCTTAAAGGTGAAGACGCAGAGGGAGGGGTATAGAGGATTGGGTTGAGGGGGGAAGGTTCTCGCTAGCTACAACTCCAATGCTCCAGAACTGGCTCCAAAACTCCCATTCACGATAAAGTTTCACGCCCCAAAGACCAGCCGATGTGGCTTTGCCTCTTACCTGTCCTCTCCACCGTTTCTCGGAGGGACACAAAGCGAACCGTGGAATTTCCATCCCCGTGCTGGTTATATGCAAGGAGTTTGACTTCGTACACCACCGATGGGTCTGTTGAAGAGAGACACAAGGAAGAGAGTTCAGGTGGATTCGCTCCCATAAAACAACCTGCCTGTTGGGGCACGTGTCTGGGAAACAAGTGGCAACAGCCAAGCACGATGTTCCCGCTGAACTCAATAGTGAATGTGCACTGTCGCTGTGAAGCAAGCTTGGGATCTAAAAACAAACCTGACGCAGCTCTCCTACTTGCTAGAGGCCATGTATTTCACCAAGAACAAGCAGGCGAATGTTCCTGTGCTAAGCAACGTAACATGGACAAGGCCTTCTTGGTACTTACCTAAGTGAGTAATGTTGTAAGACGTAACATTGCTGGGCAGTAATGTTGGCCCAGTATACTGGGAGAGGTGAACTTTACGGTAGTAGAGCTTGAACCCTTCATGTTGGCCCAGCTTGATGGAAGGCTCCCAGGTGGCTTGGACAGCGGTGCTGTTAATAACTTTAATGAAGAGGGAAGGCATCGCTGGGACTGAAAGAGAGAGACAGAGAGAACATTTTATCACCACCTGGGTCACACCTGTGCCCTTTTAGCCCCAATATACTCTGCAGAGTACAAGACTCATGATGCCCATGCTAGCACTTCACTGAGGTTGCTGAGTCTGACAGCATGACAGCTAGATTAGAGTGGGAAGAGCAACTGAGAACCACCCCTGGTTTAATGGCCCTGAATTCCTCCATGAAGTTGTGAGAGCTTCAAACTGTTTCCTGCTCGCAGCATGGTGGTTGGACAAGGTAGGAGGCTACTTTGTAGATTCTGATGCCGTTTGATTCTCAGCCCCTTAAGGTCAGGGCAGGGAGGCAGGATGGCAGAAATGCAGCAGCCGTGGAAGTGAATTTCCAGATTTCGTGATCTTCACTGTGGGGCAGCGGTGGCCTTTTAGAATGATTAGTCCCTCGGGGAGGGTGAAACCAGGAGGACAGGTCAGTGCTTTGAGGCTGATGTCTCCACGTGAAATACGGTGCAAGTGGCTGAAGATCCCAGATACCTGCGCTAGCTTAGAAGTACTTTCCATCAGTGTTGGAAGGACCTTTCTCCACAATGTTAATGAGGAAGGGAGGAAATCGGGGATTGATAAGCAAGAAATTAAGTGTTTTCAATCAAGGCAGGACAGTTCTCCACATTATATCACTGCTAAATTATAGCTATGTCCAGTATGACAATCCTGGTGGGATGCACTCACCTGGTCAGAAGGCTGCACTGAGACTTTGCTGCGGGGAAGGCAATGCAGGCTCTTTCTCAGTTTTACCTACCTATTCACATGCTGTTCCCTGTGCCTTTGGGCTACAGCCAGAGCTTAGAAGAATCAACCACAACCTCTCCACTGACATCCAAAGATTTGGATCGGGCTCCTTCAGACCGTGAAGCAGCACTTGCCTCCCAGGAGGGGCTGGGCAGGGTTGGAAGCTACCCCAGCAGACCCAGACACATCCTAGGCCCCACTGAGAGGCTGGCACTGGGGGTGCTTGTTATGTCCACACCAGAACAGCAAAGGCAGCCGATCAGCATGTTCCAGTCAGGGGCCTGGGAGGCTGGATGCATGGTCCTGCTTTGCCCAAGCCATATGTAATTATGCACCGTGGTGGCCAAGCAATGTCCTGGACCAGTGTGCTCTTCACAGAGTGCTCATCTCTTCACCAGGTTTTAGGTGGTCATGAAACTTGAGAGCCCTTCCCTGTGAACTGGGCATCCCTGTTAAACTGCAGTGGGTTTGTCAAGGCTGCGCCAGTTTAAGGAACAGGATGTGTCCCTCGGTGATGCTGTGTTGTTAGGGATGGAAGAATCTGGCTCACCGGTGTGGGAGTCCAGTGGGCAAAGCAGAGGAGGGTTGAGGCAGGACCTTGCTCAGCCTCCTCTGCCCTCCTCTCCTCACCCTCTCACACGGGGGAGCTCTCTGTCAGACTTTTCCCTGACTGACCCCAGGATGCTCCAGGCCAAATGCTCTACTCATTTTTTGGGTCCCTTTGCACCCTTCAGTGTGTGCAGCAGGTCTGGGAACTTCCCCCTGCATTGGTAAGCCGAGATCCCTGCTGGTTCAGGGCTCCAGGCCTCTGGGTCTCTGATGTCCCATGTAAGGGGTTCATGGGGGCAGGGAGTAGGTACCTCCGCTACCCAGGCAGGCCTGCTTATAGTCCTTGTTGGGCAGGAAACTGCTTCTCAATGGGACCAGTGTTGTTCCAATAATCCAGGAGCAGAATTTAGCTCCCGAAGTCCATGCCCTTGGTGCAGAAGCCAGCACCATAGCTCTCTGGGAATAAATATCATCTCAGTGGCACCTCACATCAAGGAGCATTGGAACCAGCAAACAGGAACAGAACAATCATCCACTTAACTCTGGCATCCAACACGGACCAAGAGCAGGTGCCTCAGGAGGAGGCACTGACTTCCCATGATGTCTCTGCCTCGGGGAAGTTAGTAACTGATCCCACCTGGTTATCAGGTCATGCTCTAGGAGTGGTTCTCAAGCTCTGCAGATTTGAGGAACCCCTCATTAGTCAAGAGACTCCTCAGACAATGCCAGCTCTTAGTTGCCACTCATTTTTTGACTACAGAAAAATAAAAGAGCAATTCTTCTGTTGCAAAGAAACCAGCAAGCCCACGACAGGTCTGAATGGTTTGAACACTATGGATTCCTATCTGACATCTCTGAAATCCCTGCCACACACCCTGCCTGAAAATCACTCCTCTCGTGGATAAGGATGGATGGTCCTGTAACTGTGCCTTACCTTCTGAAACTATAGTTGCTCTTCTTTTGCCTATAAATGTCTACACATTTATCGATACGTATACTAAAAAGCTGCCTTGATAATTTCTGTTGGCACACAGCCTCGCAGGGCAACTGATAAAATACATAATAATAGTAATAATTTTACTGAACAGGTCAAAGTCAATGGAACGAGATGGTGCAGTCTGAAGACTGGCATAAGCAGAAAGGCTACTGTCCCTATTTGAAAAGAAGGGTTAAAGCAGCATAACTGAACAGTTAGGAATTTCCTGACTCATTTGAATTGCCTTTTTTCCTAATAAAAATACAGTAGGCAATTAAAGACTGCTCCACTGTTTGATGAGACATGTCTATGCAATTGCAATCATGAATCTTCCAAAAAAAGTTATCGCATCTCCATTGATTCACACTGGGAACACAGTGCAGGACAAGTCAATGTATTTTCCTAATGACCTGCATGTAAATCAATAGAAAGGAAGAATGAATTGGTGTTTTCCCATTGACCTACAATACAAGAGCATACCCAGGCAAGTTCCACAGAAAGGGATAAGAAAGCAGCTTCCTTATTCATTTGTGTGACATTATCACTCTGGCTTAATGTCTCTGAATGGGGAAAAAAACCCCAATGAATCAGGGTTCCTTCTTACCATCATAGTATCTTGAGGCTTAAGTTGATGGGATGGTAATGTGAGTTTACCGTGGCTTTCAGGCCTGAACTTTTACTGGACCATGCCATTTCATCCAAACAAAGATAGAAAATTGCAAACAAGAGCTCCCATAATTGTCCTTCCCTGCTAATCTCTCTTGGGCAAGACAAAGGATAGTCTGGACTCTGCTCTTGAGTAGAGGTTTTATGGGTCCCAAGGATACTGTGCCAGGCCCAACAGTCAAATGCTATTTAGGGAAAACAGCCTAGGCAAGAAAACTTCTAGAGGTGCTGAAGGTGCGGGATGCCAGCCATTCACAAATGGCTCTTATTCACTGTTGTCATAATAGGCAACCTCTGCTTGCAGGCACATTCCAACAAGCTTCACCTCACTACCACACTGGCATTTTTGGCCCTGTTTGTTATAACACATGGGGCCTAGAGAAAGAATCCATGAATCATTTGCCAACTTACACTTGCTTCCCAAGGCACAGCTTACATATCACCTATGGATTTGGCCTGTGAATTGACCTGAGTGCAAGGGAGTGGCTGGACACAGGGCTCACACGGTGAAGAGTAGGAGGAGGGCAGTGCAGCTCACAAGAGGATGGAAGACGGTGCAAGTGAGTCTCCTTTCCCCAGGTCCATTATACACTACAATAGCGTGAAAGGCACTGCAAGACAAGTGATCTTGCCCCATGCCAGGGCAGGTCTGCACACGAGAGCAGGGGAAGGTCTCTCTGCCTGAGATGAATAATGCATCACTTCTGTGTGATAAGCTGAGCCTTTGGTAGCCCCAGCAAACAAAAAATTGAGCACATCCTTAAATAAATACATCCAAGTTGGCAGGGTGGGACATTTGGCTTGGTGCCACCTGAACAAAGCTGAAATGCTTGGTGGGAGGCATAATCCCTAGATATGGCAAAACTAGCCTACCAAGTTCAAAGACTGCGTGGTGCAGCAATTTCCTTAGAGAAGGCTCTAGGGTTTTTCCCAAACCTTGTTCAGGCCATATTGAAACGGCTTAGCACGATAGTGCAGATTCTCAGCTCCGCCACTTGCTTTGCACTAACTCTGCTGGTGCAAAGCAGCAGCAAAATCCGGTGAAGCTGACCACTAGAGGACTCTCTGGCATAGAGGACTTCCAGTAGTAGCTAGCTTGCCATCAGTTCCCCCCGGCCCAGAGCAGAGGCTGTGGGAAGGGAGAGGGGGCAAGCTGAGTGCATCCTGGCAATGTCCAGCTGCTGGGGTGGCTCAGGTAACCACTGGCAACAGGCACAAGAGAGAAAGCAACCCTGAGACAGCTCATGCTGAGCCCAGACACAGAGCAGTCAGACCCTAGAGGAGGAACACTGAAATCTGGGGGAAACTTGTCTGCCATTTGGACTGTTCTTGGCCTAGCAACCACATATGACACCTAGATCTGGACTTGCATCCAAGCTTCCCTACATGTTCAGAGCCCTTTGCAAGTTAGCTTGGCCAAGGTGCTGCTGGCCTGTTGCCCAAGGCATAAGAATGGTGCATCCCTGAAGTCTGTCCATTATGCAACTTAGCTGGAACTCTCAAGTTCCTGCCAACTGCCAAAAGTTGGGCAAGATGTGAGAGCCCCTGGACACAGCATTGCTACGGGACATAGGTACTCTCCCTCTGCTTTTGCAGGACGGTGTAGTGCATGCCCCAGGGATCCTCATGAAAGACAAGTTTCTCTCCAGCTAGTTGATGTCTGGCCTTGCTATGGATAATCTATACGGGAGGCAGAACTAGAATCACAGCAGGTCCTGAAGAACGAGCGGCCTTCCTGGAGCTCTTCTCCATCCTGGACTATGACGTGGAACATGAAGCTAACTGCAAGCACGCTCCAACGCTCTGCAAACAAACAGCTGTCTGCACGTTCCAGGCAGGTGCCCACCAGTCTGATCTGCACAAAAAAAGCAAGGTTTGGACACAAAGGAGCATGCGTGGTTGCGTATGCAAAGCCAATGGACACATCGCACAGCAGGCTGGCTGGGAATCTGCCTTTTGGGAGGGCACCGCTTCTTGGAATACGAAGAAAAATATTGTAGTTGGGAGAAGGAAACTTTATCCCAGGGAACAAAGAAACACTAGCATTGGCCATCCTGATTTGTGAAGAGTCGGTTTTATTTTATGGTCTCAGAGCTTACATTTATTAAAAACTACAAGAATGTCTCATCTTCAAAACATGGAATATATAGTATTTACTCAAAATTTGAATATATAGTATTGATTATATGTACGTACTAGTAGAATGCAAATGCTATTTATAATTTCATTACATAAATAAGTATACAATAAGGAAGTATAGTTGTGTGTGTGTGCAATATATATGTGTGTGTGTGTATACACACATGCACACAAGCATATATGTGCTTCACAGAGGTATATATATGACACAAAATGTATCTAACATATGTGAGGTGTCTCCCTTTTGCTAAGGGATGGAATACTTGTCTTCCTCTTCAGTGCTGTTTGGAGTTTTCCCCAGCCACTTCAACTGTCTTCTTGAAGTCATCTTAAACTGAAGATGACTAAAGGAACAGTCTTCATCCTAGAGAAATGTCAAAAAGTTCTGGAGAAAACCCTAAAAAGCAGGAAAAGACAAGAGTAGGCACCTGTGCTGCTTCACGAAGCGCATGTTGTTTGAGATATAACAGTTGCATTACCGGGTTGGCGTCTGCAGGTGTTTCTCAGCACCAACCATGCAAAGCACCTCTTTATCTGGCTGCTGGAAGGTTGAGCAACAAGCCCGGGTGCTGGAGTGGATTCTGACCCCATGCACATACAGATAAATTGAGAGCGAGTCCATTGGCATCAGTGGGGTTTTCCTAGATTCTAGCCAAGGTGCAGCTGAGAGTACAGCCCTGCCTATGATGCTCTTTCTCGGCCTGTGCCATGTCATCTTTCCAAGCCATGGGATAAGACCGACTGCTTTCTTCTCCCATCACGTCATCCTTTTCGCCCAAGGTCAGACTTGCATGCTGCATCTCTGGATCCCTAACCGAGCTCCCTGCGTGGCTCCGTCACTTCCTGCAGAACATACACTTTCATTGACAAGGAACCAAGACCGGAGCCTGCGGTGCAAACCTCCCCAGTGTAGCCCGAGGAGCTGCTGCATTTCAGCAACAGGCCCAATCCTCTTCTCACCTCACGCTAGTCCACATCGGGAGTCACTGCCAAAGCGGAGTCACAGTAGGGCGAGCTGGATTACATGTGCTCAGAATTGGGCCCCAAAGCTCTAAGAGAAGGAGCAGACTGCTGAAGTGAGAGATTTGGCTGATTTCCTAATGCAGGACTCACTCACTCTCTCCCTATCTTAATCTCCTGCTCCTCTTTCCGGTGCCTTGTTGCTACTCCACTTCTCAACACATTGCTTATCTCAATGGCCCAGCGCTGCAGAGAGCTGTGCACCAGCCCCAGTCCAAAGGAGCTCCAGCTAGACAAGTAACGTGACGAGAAATGATGAAAAGAAAATGGGGAGAATAGAGAAGAAAGAAGAACAGAAAGGAAGATTTCTCCAGAGCTGCAAAGAACTAGAATTCCTTTAAAGAGTTGCAAAGAATTCAGATCATTCACTTAGTTTCCCTCTTTGGTATTTGTTTCCTCCTTCTTTCTTATTGCACCTAGTCACAAAGCAAGGAGCAGAGAGCAGAGACAGAAAGCAGGACAACCAAAGGCAGTCTGGAGTGAGGCTGCATAGGAGGAGCATGCGTGCATGGTATTACTCGTGAGACAGATACATTCATATGCTTCGAACTATGAAATAAAATTGCTAAGGCAGTGCCCGGCATCCACATCCCTGCCATCTGAAAGACTCCCAAGGGTGATCTTCTTGTCTGAAAACTAAGGGTCCAATGCAGATTTCACCCTTGGATAGCTTCCACTACTTAAGGAGAGCTTGTACTTAAGGCCCCAGATGTAACAAAGCATGAGATGCCCAGATCCTGTAAGAAGTTAGATTCTTAACTGCCTGGCATATTTCTTCACGATATTACGGCTTCAACTTCCTCACTTACTGGCAGTTTTATATGTCCTTCAAGAACCACATAGCTTAAAGCTAGCTGACAACATCTGTACCCATTCTGGATGTGCGTGTTTTCCTAGTTAAGCAGAGCCCAGTGGGGTAAGCCAGTGCAGAATCGACCCCTTTACTTTGTTTAAGAGAGAAACCTCAGAAATCAGTGGCTGTATGGTGGATGTGGCTCAGGCATGCAAAAGGAGGGGATTCTGAGTGCAGTGGTAGTGCTCATCTGTCAGCAAGCCAGGAAGACAGCCCCATCCTGAGAGCAACACCACCACATCAGCTAAGACACCGCATCCAAAGTCCTGTGTAGAAGAAATGGCATCCCCCCCACCACCCTTGCGCTCGCTTCAGTTGGATTCAGAGACATATGCTCATTTCCGCTGTCATCCCCGGCCAGGTCCCATCCTGCCAGTGAGATTCCACCCCAGGAGGCACCTAGGCACCACATGAACATTTCTAGCTGTGCTCGCACCTGGCTTCAGGCATATCATCAACCCAGTTGTGTGTATAGACAGAGGCCCCTGCAGAGCCTGCTCGTGCAATGTCCGTTCTACCTACTGTCCTCCTGGGCAGAAAATTATGGGCCGGATTTTCAAGCAAATTGCAGCAACTCAGAGGACACAACCAGGCCGTAATTTGGCCACCTGGTCCCAGCAGAGAATGCTGCTTTGGTAGGGGAGGTTTCCTCTAGGGGCAGCTCTCCGTAAGACACATGTAATCTGGCTTGCTCATCCGTGATTAAAATACAGCTCAATGTCTGCATTCAGTTGCCAGGGATGATGTTGTTTTTAAGGCCAGCATGGCAGCCTTGTGCCTTCAGACATCAAAGATCCAGGAAATGCATTGCCCTCTCACAAGATACATAACCGCGTGAGGCCTGATTTAAGGCAAGCTTGTCGAAAAGCCTTGCCCAGCCTGTCCCAACCTATGCCAAGAAGCACCAGGTTTTATGAGGCATGGAGGGGCTGTGAGCTACTGTGGCTGAACTCGGAGCTCTGGGTCAAGGATTTTAAAGCTTAAGCTGAGTCCATCCCCGTCTCTGCACCAGGGGGAGAAGCTAGATGAAAGGAGGGCTGGGGGACTCCAGAATGCCAAGTAAATAGACATGCAAAGTAATAACCCAGCACGTCCCACAGCAGGGATAGAGTAGCTCTTTAATCTTAGATCCTGTAGGAAATGCTCACATCCGCTGAAAACAGGGCTCAGAGCTGAGCCCCCAGATTGGAGTCGGTGCAGCCATTTCAGCTGCATCTGAATCAGGCCCTTTGTCCTCCTATCACTGTCCTGCAGGACTTCATGTTTATGAAAGAGACCCCTTGGGGTGCGGTGCCCGCCCCTCTCCAATACATCTGCTTTGAAACGAGAGATGAAGCTATTGAGATAAGCTGTGGTCTCCAACTGTCTGAAATGTGCTGGGGCCTAAGCTCAACGCTGGTGACCAAAGGCTGTTCTATCTGATGGCCTGGGACTGTGGTTTCAAGCCAGCATCCCATGGGCAAGTCCTGCATCACACTCTGCTACCATGTTGGGGGCACTCACTGGCAGTCTGAGCAGAGATGCTGAGGAAACAGAGTCTCCTGGGACGGAGACCCACATACGGTACCTTCTTACTAACCTCTCACTCCTGGTCAAGGCAGAGCAGCTGGGAAGGCCGCTAGCATGGCCACTGGCCATGCTGCACTTGTGCTGTGGATGAAGCAAGGGCTTCTGTCTCCAGGGCCGCTGATCAGCTGGCTTTAGGAGAAGAGCCATCAAATAAAGAACATGCACTAGACCATTCTGTACGAAAGGCTGCCAGTGCCAGAGTTGGCACTGCAGCATCTGGGCTGCTGGACAGCACTGAGGCCTACTACTGTTTAAAGCCGATGATTTAATGAAAGTCCTGTTGCAGTGCAAGGGCTGGTGATGGGCGTTCAGCTCTCACTGGCTTCAGCATAGCTGGCTGAAGATGGAGGTCTGCTGTAATCTATGCCAGCTGTCAGGGTAGGGATATCCTTGTTATGCCCCCTCCTCTGGATGCATGCTTTGGGCCAAGAAGGTAAGTGCAGCTACAGGGTCTGTACATCTTAACACGCTGGAGGGGTCAGGTTTTGCTACTACCTGATCTTTGCCCTTCATGAAACAATGTCAAGTCATGCCATTGAGAACACTGGCCCAGAGATCGGCCCTCCTGAGGCAGGGATCTCTGTCCAATAAATAACCAGGGTTACTGCATTGTCAGGGCATAGGCCTGCAAAGCCCTTCACTCCCAAGGGACTGCATATAGGCTCAGTGAAGAACCCGATGCCTGAGGGCTTCCAGAGCCATGTCCCCACTGAGGAACTCATTCATTTTCTGAGTAAGGAGGAACATATCCAACAAGACCATGTGAGGCAGTTGCTAAAGAGTTCGAGAGGTCTCTGCAGGGGCGGAGGCAGAGACACCCATGGGCATGCCTTGCTTGCAATAAAAGGCTTTCTTTTGGGGTGTCATAAACAATCCTGAGGCTCTCACTCACTGCAGGCCACACACTCAACATGAGGATGACTACATACCAGAACAAGACCCCTGCAAAAACTGACAGTTAGCTCCCACATCATGCTGTGAGGCATAAGGTGTTGCAGAGACCGCCAGGTGATTTGGTCTTGCTCTCTTCCGTACCACCAGGTTAGAGAAAGTCCAGATGCTCCTCAATGTAACCAGGTAAGGGGGACTCTGTCACGTTCCAGAGCACAGTAAGCAGGGGGTGGGGGGCAGTACATAATGAAACACCCAAGTACACGCAGCAACTAGGCTGACATTGTTGCTGCACCCCAAGGTTTGCAACCATCCAAACTTTAGACTTCCTTACCTTCTCCCAGCGTGCTCACCACCATGGCATCAGAGGCTTTGCTAGCTCCCCGGGAGGTGTACGCCTTGATGTAGAAGCTGTAACTGGTTGAGGGCTCCAAGTCAGTCACGAGCTGCTGGAAGGTGCTTTTGCTCACGGCCTCCTGGTACTCCATCTCCACCGGATCTGGAACGCAAGAGCAAGCGAAAGCAGAGTGGCGTGAGGCTGCAGGAGGATAATGCAGTGGTGCTCGGGAGCACATGGATAATAGAGTGACACCTGAACAAGCCATAGTTTTGCTTCTCAATGAGGAAGTGTGTTGAGAGGTGGGTCAGATTCTTCTCCACCTGGAACCTTTGCCATGGACTTCAGCTGAAGGGAAAGGACCGAGCCCACAGAGCTTTGCTTTTCCTTCCCTCCCACAGGAAGTGCCGTGCTGAGGCTGGCTGGTTTAGAGCCGGCTCTAGTATGTCCACGGGAGCTGCAGTCATGCCTCCTGACCACAGGGCAGATGTGCCCTGGCAGCTTGATTCTACAATATGGCAAGACCTTATAGTCAGGGGCTGAGCTCAGGACATGCCAGCTTCTGGGGTGGTGGAAGGTGCTCAGTGCCTCACAGAATCAACCTATGCTACTGTTTTTTTGGTGCCTGCGCAGACAATGCTAACTTGAGTAGGCAGGAACATGATTGTTGCTACTTACAATGTCCCTGCATCATATCCAAGTGCCCAAGGATGGGACCTTTTGAGCATCCAAGCCAGGAGCCTTACCTGCAGCCTTCCTTATGTGCAGCACATAGCCGATGATCTCCTTGGTATTCTGCAGAGGCTCGCTCCAGGACACCTGGATGGTGGTCGCAGAGACGGTCTCAGCTTTCACATTCTGGGGAGGGCCTGGCAGCCCCTCGGCCCATAGCACAGTCAGGCGGGCGCTGGCCTGAGTGGAGCCGGCACTGTTCTCCGCAATGCACTGGTAGATGGCTTCGTCCATCTGGCTGATCCCGTAAATGGTGAGTGTGCTGGAAACAAAGGCAGACAAAAAAAACAGCGGCCTTTAGCTTCACACCTTGCAGCCCTGACCCTAGCACTATCAGGCATCGCCACAATCTCACCCAATGGGTCTGAAAAGTAGGGGTGGGCTCAAAGGCTGAGCCTGATTAGGGACAGTGTCAATACCTCCCATTTGGCTTCACTTTTCGGGCCAAACTTGGCTTTCAACCAGGTTCCCAACCTAGATCTGCATGTTGATGATTCCATCTCAAAAGAAAGTCAAGGGAGGAGGAGGAGGAGGTGGCAGATTATCCTGATATTGTAGTCAGGCAGCTTGTCTCTGTCTTGGATTAAAGAGATTGGGGTCACCCCTAACTGAGTTACAAAGGAAAAAGAATGCACCAAGGGACTTTTTCACGTGGGCTTTGGAGAGAGAACGAGGTGTTAACGGTGTAGGTCTCACGTACAAATTGGGCAGACTGCACTGTTGAAATCAGAGCATCCAGCACCGACCTGGTGGAAACCAATGGGACGTGAGCTCCCAGTGCAAGGCTGTGTCAAAGAAGACAAACGCAGTCCCTGGGTGTAATAAAAAGAGAATAGCACCAAGGTGAAGAGAGGTGACTGCCTCATGCCTGACTTGTTCCTCTGGCTTTCACTAGGAATCTGCCCTTTCTCAGCAGACTGCCAAGTAGCCCTTTCCCCAAGATCAGCTGAATTGCTTTCACTGCAGATCAGAGACACCTGCCAGCAAGTTTCTCCAGCTCAACCTTACAGCCAGAAGCGGGGTGGGGACTTTGAGATGGTCTGTTGCCATGAGGGTAGGAAGCAGGATGAGTATACTAGATGCCACGTGGGATGGCAAGGAAGTCTTACATTCAACCAAAACGGAGGTGCTAACAGCAAATATACCTACCTAGCTTTGGCCCAGCTAGTACAGGCAACAACAAGGAAGGGAACAACAGCACTACGGCATTCACCCATATACTACTAACGTAACAAGGTAGGATCATGGTAATAGCTACCGACAGGGAGCTTGCAGCGGCACCGCACATGATACATAAGCCAAGTCTAATCAACCCCAGTCAGAAAGCCCTCTGGTGATGTTGTAATTGTATTATAGCACATTAGAACAGTCTTAGAGTAACATTAGGATTAGCCCATTTATCCTGCAGGGTGATAGCCTCAGCTTTTGCCTTTGTGTTATGAAAAAAATAAGGCCCGATCCTTGCAAGTGTCTGGGGAATATTCACAGCCTTGCAGAAAATCTCAGTGTGTATTTCTGAGGCCAGGGTCTGAAATGCCCCCATAATTGGAA